CAGAGTGGGCAGATGATAGCCTCTGATTTCTGGCCAACCGCTTCTGACAGTTGAACTTTGTATGGCCCAACTCATGGCAGTAGTGACACTCGACGTGACTAGAGTCAGAGCTAAAGCCTCGTGGATCTGTTGCCCGATCATTGTGACCTCCTCTAAAGCTCCCTCGAGAACCTCCGTGAGGTCCTCCTCGGAAGCCACCTCGGTATCCACCTTGACTGACCAAGGCAGCATGATGATCGGGAGGCTGAGCAGACTGAAAGTCCTCATTTCTAAGGACCCGAGCGAATGTCTCTTGAAGAGAAGGGATCGTTGATTCGTTCAAGAACTGTGATCTGATGGAATCAAATTCTGGTCGTAGACCACTCAGAAAGCTTATGACAACAATTTGCTCCCTTTGAGTCTGCATAGCTTTCACATCAGTGCTCAAAGGAAGGAGAGAATTCATCTCCTCATAAACCTTCTTGAACTCCATGGCATAGGTCATAAGAGAACGATCATGTTGTTCCCCACGATGAAATGCCTTACAGACACTGTAAATTCGTGAAATGTTGTTTTGCCCAGAATACAAGAAGTCAAGATAATCTATTAACTCCTTCACATACTCACAATGACTGACCAAAGTTGAGACCGAAGGCTCAATAGAGTTAATAATCTGCAAGAACATACGAGCATCTTGTTGTAACCAAAGGTCACGATTACCGTCAGTAGGAGGGTCAGAATCTAGATGAGAAGCCATTCCCATACTTCAGACATACAGACGGACCGTTTTGATCCATTCAAAGTAATTAGTACCGTTAAGTTTATTATCGGTAACTCTACCACTCGTCGGGATCAATTCAGGTATACGAACACTGCCAGACGACTTGTCATCGGATGACTTGTCTCCATCTTTAGCCATCGGAGATGGAGCGGATGAAGATGGCGACCTTCAAGAAGCAAGAAACAGAAGTTGGGATGATGCTGGCGGCGGCTGGCGGCATGGGGCGGCGGACAGCGACTGGAAAACACCGGGTCGGTCGTCTAAGTCAGCGGTGGCAGCGGCGGCGGTACAGCAGCAGAGGCAGATTCCGGCCAGCAGAGGTGGCAGCGGCAGATTCCGGCGAGCAGAGGCGGCAGCGGCAGATTCCGGCGAGCAGAGGCAGCAGCGGCAGATATGGCGGCGTCTAGGGTTCAGGCGACGGTGGCAGGAGTCCGGCGAAGTCGGCTAGGGTTCCGGCGACGACGGCAGGAGGTTTTCAGAGTGGCTCTGATACCATGTGATCAGAGGGACAGAGAGAAGAAGTATTCTTATTTACTGAATAATTAATTACAAAGGAGAGGCGTGTATATATATAGACACAAATAAGAAACCCAAACCCAAATAAGCAAAGGCCCGTACGGCCCATCAGAAACCCTAAACAGACATAATATTTACAATATATTCTAACAGACCGGTTAAAGATGAAGGAATTGCAAGGCACTGAACGGTTAGGCACACTCCGCAGCCAAATGGAGTGGCCGAAAGGATGAATAGAACGCTGCTAGAAAGAGTTAGATGTGTGCTGTCAAATGCAGGGTTGTCTAGAGGTTTTTGGGCTGAGGCGTTAAACACGGTTTGTTACCTAGTGAATAGGTCGACGGCAACAACAATTGGTTGTAAAACTCCTATTGAAATGTGGTCCGGTAAGGCAGTTGATTACACGAATTTACGGGTGTTTGGTTGTCCTTCATACTACCATGTGAGTGAAGGAAAGTTGGAACCAAGGTCAAAGAAGGGGTTGTTTATGGGATATGGTGCTAGAGTAAAAGGGTATAGAATCTGGTCACTTGATGAAAGAAAGGTAATTCTCAGCCGTGATGTAATATTTGATGAAGGAAGTATGTTGCGTGACATACGGTATTTGTCTACTTCATCTACTTCAAAAGACCAAGAGGAGAGGACTGGTGGAGCATGAGTTAAATGATTCAGATGAGGGTGAGAATGTTTCTGGACAGCACAGTAACATGACTCAAATTGGACATGTTGAGTCCGAAAGTCAGCACCATCCTATGGAATTTCGGTCCATAGCGTTAGACAAGACTCAAAGACAAGTTGGTAGGCCAATTCAGTATGGTTTTGATGACGTGGTGGCCTATGTGTTACAAGTTGCTGAAGAATTGGAGTTTTTTGAGCCATCTACTTATAGAGAAGCAATCACAACAAAGGAGGCTGATGTATGGATAGCAGCCATGGGTGAAGAAATGGTGTCCCTTCACAAAAATAGGACTTGGGAATTGGTGAAATTACCTCAAGGCAGAAAAGTTGTGACCTGTATTGGATTTTTAAGCGGAAAGAAGGGCTGCCAGGAGCTTAAAATTTAAGGTTTGGTGGCTAGAGGTTATAGCCAAGAGCAAGGGGTTGATTATAATGAAATCTTCTCACCGGTGGTGCGTCATACATCCATTCGAGTGCTGTTGGCACTAGTAGCACAACAAAATTTGGAGTTAGAACAGTTGGATGTTAAAACAACGTTCTTGCATGGAGATCTTGAAGAAGAAATTTATATGAGTCAACCGGAGGGATTTGTGGTTCAAGAAAAGGAAGATTATGTTTGTAAGCTCAAGAAATCGCTTTACGGGTTGAAGCAATCTCCAAGGCAGTGGTATAAGCGATTTGACAGCTTTATGGTGAAACATGGTTTTAATCGAAGCCCTTATGATTGCTGCATATATCATAAGAAAGTAGCTGATGGTTCACGTGTGTATTTGCTACTTTATTTGGATGATATGTTGGTAGCAGCTCGAGATATGGCTGAAATTAAGAAGTTGAAACGACTCTTTAATTCTGAGTTTGATATGAAAGATTTGGGGGCTGCCAAAAGATACTTGGGATGGAAATAATTCGAGACAGATCTAGACATAAACTTTTCTTGTCACAGAGAAGTTGCATTTTGAAGATACTTTCTCGGTTTGGTATGGCTTCTGCGAAGCCTTTGAGCACTACAAATGTCAGGTTATCGGTGACTTTGGCTCCTTAAACAGAAGTTGAAGAGTATATGAGCAGAGTTCCTTATTCAAGCGCTGTGGGAAGTCTTATGTATGTTATGGTCTGTACTAGGCCTGACATAGCTCATGCCATTAGTGTCGTTTCGTGCTATATGTCTTGTCCAGGAAAGGAACACTGGGCTGTTGTAAAACGTATTTTTCGGTATCTTAAAGGTTCAACTGATGTGGGTCTCATTTATGAAGGAAAATGAGACAATGAGACAGTTTTGTTGCCGGGTATTCAGACTCAGATTATGCAGCTGACCTTGACAATCGAAGATCATTAACGGGTTATGTATTCACTGTTGGAGATGCCTTAGTAAGCTAGAAAGTAACGTTACAATCATCAGTTGCTGTATCCTCAACAGAGGCTGAATATGGCACTTACAGAGGCTGCCAAGGAAGGGATTCGGCTGAAGGGTCTGCTTGGAGATCTTGGATTTCATCAAGATCAAGCTGTGATATTTTGTGACAGTTTAAATGCTATTTGTCTTGCGAAAGGTCAGGTGCATCATGAAAGAACTAAGCACATAGACGTTCGTTATCATTTCATACGGTCAGAAACAAGAGTTAAAGTGAAGAAAGTGAAGACTGATGATAACCCAACTGATGAACTTACTAAACCAGTTTCTTTAAACAAGTTCAAACATTGTTTAGATCTCCTAAACATTAATAACTAGAAGTAAAATCTTTGTAGAATTAAAGTCAAGGTGGAGGTTTGTCGAGTGGTGTGACTTTAGTTGTAGTAGACTTAGTTTAGTTAGTCTGTTATTTTCTTTTCTGTTTTAGCCTATAAATAAGTGGGTCATGTTGTACTTCACATTCTTTTCTCATCTAATAAAATTCTCTGCCTCATGCGTCCAAAGTCACTAAAAGATCTCTAGTAATTTCTTAACATGTGTCCCTAATTAATAGACGTCTGTAGCACCTTTGAGACACCTCAAGATCCATTTCATCACTCCCAATGACTAGTAGCTTTTAATGTACTCATACAACAAACCATCATGCCTAGTCATTGTAAGATAGTTTGTAATACCTACTATTCTATTATACATTTTTGGGTTGTAAGCACCTCAACATCATCCAAAAAAGTGAGACGTTCAAGATTGATGAGAATATGCTAGCTGCTACCAGACTATTAGGTATACAATAAACCACCCTTAGCCAACACTGCCTTATCATCTCCTATTTATGTAACTGTTGCATTATCTTTGGATAAGGAACTTTAGCAGCTCTCAACTCGTATGAATTTTCTGCCATTATTACAGTATCATCAAATAAAAAGCTAGAACTATCCCTTTTGTCTTTGAAAAATATGAAATAGACAGAAGCCCTCCTTTACCATGTTGTTTGGAGGAAAAAGATGCCACCCAAATTAAGTCTCGAGTGATTGTAGTTTCCATAATTCAAAATTAAAGTGGAAAAGGAGAGATACAATTTGATTCCTGCTGATCTGAAGGATTGAAACAAGATTCCTGTATATCTGGCAGAATAAAACAGCGTCCAAATATGTCCGATGAAAGGAAGTAAACATGGAAATCGTTCCGGTTGTTTTTGCATTAAAATATTGTATGTGAAGCAGGTCTATTCTTCATATGCTAAAATCATACAAACTTCCCTATGGTCAGCTGGCTGATGATTTTTTTTTTAATATTACAGCGATGGGAACCTGTTTCAATGCAGCAACGACACGGGAGTTCGATTGTTGAAGTTTATCGCATTGTGGAAGAGGTTCCCAGTAATTAATAATTTGTAATTTACTTATTTTTTCATGATGGATGAAGTTCCTAGAAATAATTGATTCAATCTGATCAGTAGATTAGATTTGCAATCTTATGTTAGCAACAATTGCTGATGGCATTTGAGTATTTTCTCTTCTCTTTTGCTCATTGCCTTTTTTAGTTGAGCATCCGTTACCATTTCCATTCACTATATTAATAAATAATGGAGTTGCATTTTCACATTCTTTCAGACTATTGATCAATTTTTCGCTCTAAGGATTCCTATGAGGTCTGGAGAAATGAATAGCCTGTTCCGAGGCATTGATAATGCATTTCAAGTATATGCAAAACATGTTGTTGACAACTTGGGTATGTATATTTCTCTTAACCCATATGATGATTTGCCCACACTTGGTTGAGTTTCATGGTTAGCAATTCACTGTTCAAAAATGAGTAAATGGGGCCACCCGTTGGAAGAGTAACCAACTTGTATATATAAATGTTCCACATGGCCTGCTTATGGGTGAGTTACTGGTAAGTGGTGCACAAGGAAACAAATAGTACCATAAAAGGGATCACAACCACTTTACCAGAAGGCAAATGGGAATTATTTAGACAGTTGTGTTTTTATCAAATATTTCACAATATATGGATAAAATCATGTTTGACACTGCAAAATTAAGTATTTTGATGTAAAACATCAAACTGATCGTGTTAATAACTTATCCACATAGGTTCTCATGCTTCTCTCATTTGTAAGATTTTGTTTTTGAAAAGAAATGCAGTTTACTTATTGTATTAGATGCTTGGACTGAGGCTTGAGAGAAACCATAGTTGATACACTTTAAAAATCATTCTTGAGCAGGTTACCATCTGAGCCTCCTTTAATTCTATATCATGTACATGGGCCTTATTGTTCCATTATTCTGTTTCCGAATGTTCTGAGATAACAGTTAACAATCTGCCTGTTATTTGCTTGGTTCTATATATCGAGTTCCTCCCAATAGTAAATATTGGAGGACTTTGTTGGATGGGAATATTGATTTGTCCTTCGATCATAACTACTTTATGAGGTCATGAGTTCCTCCCCGCATATACCCTGATAATGACAATGTTCTCTTGGGATGCAACCAGACATCAGAAAAAAAGAGTTGATACTCTTTTTCACACATTTTAGTGCTGCCAATGGCCTAGTTGGCTATTTTAACTCCGGAAATAATTGTATTCTTTCCACCATTTTCATTTCTATAATTTTCAGGCTTTAATAATTACTTTTAAATAATAGCAAACTTGAATGACCATGCAGCTAGCAAGGAAGACATTATTCCCCCTGTGCCAATTCTGACAAGATACAGGAGAGAAAGTGGAATCAAAGCTTTTGTCAAGAAAGAGTTGACTGATCCAAGGCTGCCTGATATGAGAAAGTCAAGAGACATCAATGTTTTGAGGACACCAACACTATGTGTGCAGTTAAACACCCTTTATGTGAGTTGAAACTCCCACTTTGTTGCCATCTTTTGTTCCCATCTTCATCTCAGTAATGCTATTATTTTTATTCTCCTTCTCCAGCATACCACATTTTAATGTTTATTTTTCTAGCAATATTAATATTAGATCATGAGAATGGAACTACCAATTGTGGGTTTAGACGTCATTGCTATTGTTCTTTTCATTTTCAGAGATAATACTCACCTGTAAATAATTGAAATTCGTTTTCACCAGATTTTTTCTAATATAAGCGCTTGTATATCTACTGCTCAATAGGAGTTCTGTTTGTCTTTTTGGCAGCATATGTTGTCGTCATTGACATTTATTTCTTGTTTATCTTCTGAAGACAAGAAATTTCATTTGAAATGGTTTTTATTATATTGAATTATCTGAACATTTATCGAAGAAAAGGGCAAAAAAGATCCAAACACTATAAGTATTACTCCCTCCATCCCGAAATAAGTGTCCACATTTCTATTTTAGTTTGTCCCAAAATAAATGTCTACTTTCCCATCCTACCCCTAGTTATGACTGTACTATAGATCACTTCTTTTGTGTTACAAGAAACTGAAGGGATTGCAAGTATGCAAAAAATGCAGATGCTTCAGCATCTAGCTAACCGAATCTTTATCATTTTCTATGTAGTATGGCATTAGCCATCTTAACAAGCTGGAAGACAGCATTTGGGAACGCTGGACAAGGAAGATGAAGCATGGAAAATATAATAGTACGTATTCTAGACCTTTACACATATCTCAATGCTTTCAGTAGAAGTTCATGACATGAAACGCATTTCAGCATTACAATAACAAGTTTTGTGGGACGTAATGTGTGAAGCAGCTGGTATAGTTATTTTCATCTGGATTTCAGTTGTTTTTGGATGTTAATATAAGCCCTGATTTGATGCTACAATCTGGTCACATTGGTTAAATTGTACATTCTTGTTAGAAGATAGACTTCTATAATCAGGGTTTTTTATGGTTTTATCATGCTGATGTATTTAGGTCCACGCGCCCATCTATTGTAATTTCCTTCTGAATACTATATATGTTCTTTTGACCCTAAACACTACTAGCATGATATCTGAGCTACCGCTTTGATAAGCAAAACCCTATCACGTGCAAAATCTGTTGCAATTGGATGCTGCTCACAACAGGAACAGGGCCAAAAAACCTTCTAGGCGACCTAGGTTCACCATCCTAGGTCGCACAGCACAGATCGTGTAGGCATCCAGGAGCTTTGGTACATTTTCTGCGATTGTGACACTTTGTATGCACCGTGATCGTGTGGCAGTGTGGCACGATTGCATGGCCCACCTGGGTCCCTGTTTAGGTTGTTTGTTGGAGGCAGATTCTGGTGGTTTTTCAAGCATTTTGGTCCCTGCCCCCTAGCTCATATGTGCCATATAAAAGCCATTTACTTTCAGATTTTGGTTAAGTTTTTAGACGAAAAACTTATTGGTGCTCTTTCTAGTTAGAGAAAAGAGAGGAGAGCTTACTCCAGTTGGCTTTTCAACTAGTTTTCGACTTTTCATGATCTATCTTTAACCTTATCGTTTTCCTTCTCTTTCAACAAAGGTTATGGGTATTGCAATTCCCATCCCCGTCGGGGAATCGGGGATTTTTCCCACTATACAATCTAATTTTGTAAGTAATGTTTATATATATGTATATATATCATGTTTATAAACGTCAATTTAATGTCTAAACGACATATAATGCTAAAATATTAATTACCCAATTTTTAATTTTTGCATTTGTACAAGAGTAGTTTCATTTGTATAAGAGTAACATAAAAAACGTAGTTCAAACACTGAAACACAAATATATCAATTACAATACTTAATAATCGAGGTTTTATATAATCAGCGTTATGTCAACAAAAAAAATTCTGTGAACAACCAAATTAATAATGTAATCTTTTAAAACTTTTCATCATGGAAGGTTGATTATATTTATATATTATATATAATCATTGGGTTTCTCACTGTAGTATTATACTTGATATATATATATATATATATATATACATAGAAATATATAAATAATACTCGGGGTAGGGGTCGGGGATGAAGGGCATCCCCATCCCCGGTTTATAAATTATGGGATTCCCCGTCCCTGGTCAATTCGGGGATTCCCCGGTCAAACTAGGGTTGGGTATCGAGTTCCTGTAGGGTGCGGGGTTTTTTGCCATCTTTGCTCATATTACTTTTGCTTTGGGAATACTTGGTCTTTCTATGTACTTCATTCTTATGGCTGCTAATTAGGGTTGTAAACGAACCGAACGAACCGAACGAACACGAACGGAGGCTTGTTCATGTTCATTCGTTTAACTTAACCGAACAAACGAACGAACACGAACGGTAAACGAATGAAAATCTTTGTGTTCGTGTTCGTTCGTTTAAAAATAATGTGTGTTCGTGTTCGTTTATGTTCGTTCGTTAACATGCTAAACGAACGTAAACGAACGAACATAAACGAACGGGCTAAACGAACATAAATAAATATTATTTGAATTCAAAGTAAATAAAATAAAAGATTATATATTAAATTTAATATATAAACGAACATAAACGAATGAATATAAACGAACGTAAACGAACGATAAATGAATGAACGTTCACGAACATAAATGAACGAACGAGACTCTTGTTCATGTTCGTTCGTTTAACTAAACGAACAAAAAAATGTGTTCATGTTTGTTCATTTATTAAATAAACGAACATAAACGAACTTCCCGCCAAACGGTTCACAAACGGTTTGTTGAACGTTCGGTTCGTTTACAGCCCTACTGCTAATGCAAAGACTCTCTCTGATCCGATATGGGAAGTGACTGAGCTTAGTTTCTATTTTGAATGTTAGGTTCAAATTTCACTTATATGATTTTTGGTCTATTTGTTCAATTTGCATATGACAATTTGAGTAGTGTTGGAAGATAGGCTTATAAAGAATTAGGTTTCTTTTAGTGATTAATTTTGTTTTAGTGGGTACATCTATTATATTTTCTATTGAGGGTTTCCCTCAATAACAGATGATTCCTTTTGACCCAATATTTTAACAATTCTTGATGAGTGGTAAATGGTAGGGATGAGATTGGTACCGATTTTTAATGGGACTCAAAACTAGGACCGAAAACCAAACCGTATATAAAGTTCGGTACCGGTTCGGTTTTGGTTTCGGGACGGAAAAATCGGTACTAGGACCACTTAGGACTGAAAAATGAAAGTGGGTTGAAAAACAATCAAAAGTTCATAATGTTCATAATGTTTCAAATGTGTATCAGATCCAATCGCAAAAGTTCAACAATCAAAAGTACATAATGTTTGAAAATCTTTCAAATGGGTATCAAAACAATTGCAAACCATTTAATCTCCCTAAACAAAAAAACCACATTAAACTTATAATTAAAATTAAGATTATTTTAATTTATAATATTAACCAATAATTAACTAAAAAAAATCAGTTTATGACTGACAAACATAATCTAAACCTTGTGGTATATAAAAACCTACTTGAGTTTCATCCATGGAGGAGCCGATTTTTCCGATATTTTGAGGTGCTAGGGCCGATTTTTTGATGGTGATAGGGACAATTTTTTTTATCAAAGTAATAGTTAGTTTAGGAGAAGATATGGATTAGTTTAGGAGAAAATAGAGATGGAATTGGAATAGTCATGTGTCCATTGAAATTCCAGTTCGGTTCAGTTTTTTCGCAAAATTCTTGGTACCGAGAACCAAAATACCGAATCCTGAATTTGTTGTAAAATTGGAATCAATAACCAAACCGATTCCATGGTCCCCATCTCATCCCTAGTAAATGGAAGACAGAAGCCTGAAAATATAATTTTACCTTTGTTGAAAGAGAAGGAAGTTGGAAATCATTTTTACCTTTGTTGAAAGAGAAGGAAGTTGGAAATCATTTTTACCTTTGTTGAAAGAGAAGGAAGTTGGAAATCATTTATAAATATTGAGCACAGTTAGTAGCCAAGAAGAAGAAAGAGGAGGGAAGTATATTAAGGCAAAGTTGTCACAAATCCTATATCTAGCCTTGATGAAACCACCTCTCTTGTGCTAGAGCACATGTTTTTGCCTTTACTGTAATTTTTAAGCTCTTCTTTTTTCTATTATCTGAACTTTAATTTACTTGAACCTTATCTATTATGATGCTTTTCAAATCTTGATGAAATATTCATATTTAAGGCTGTATCCTGCAGAGAGATCTACAGATGAGAACTTGAAAAAAGAAAGCTTTGATGGAAGTAGAAAAGATATTAATGCAGCCATTGACCGGATTTGTGAGTTCACCGGTGAGACATATTTTTCAACCTAATCACGTGTAAGCAGATTTGAGATCTGATTTAAAACTTCATGGCATTCTACAGGAACTAAGATAATTTTCTGGGATCTAAGGGAGCCATTCATTGAAAACCTATATAGATCTAATGTTTCTGAGTCCAGGTTGGAAACACTCATTGAGCCGCTTGATGTGGTATGTTTTGTTAATTCTGCAAGCTATTACATGTATAAGTTGGTTCTCTTACTCCCCCCCCCCCCCCCTCCCCAGGGTGGCATCTGGAGGACATAAAAAATAATGATAATTATAGTAACAATAATGTAATTAATACTGTTAGTTTAATAGTAGTTAAGAGAGGGGGTTGTGTTGTACCACTTAGGGTAATATTGATTATTCAAAGTTATCACAGGTGTTGAGTTTTGAATTATTTATTTTCTTTCTTCTCTTATCACTTTTTTCAATTGCATGATGCTATATAGAGTATCTCCAACAAATTCTCCAAAATGGAGAAAATAGAGATTTTATGATACATTTTTTTGCTCCAACAGATTCTCTAAAATGGAGAAAGTAGGAGAGAGGGGAGAAAGATCTCCAAATTTGGAGAAAACTCCCTAAAGCTAAATGTTTAAGAGAGAGAGTTCTTTTTTTTTTTATTGTTTCCACCAATGAGGTTGAATGTATTATTATTTTATATGTTTTTTTTAAGTTTATTGGGATGATAAATTTATAGATTATTTTTATAATATAATTAATGTTGAAATCTCCAAAACAGAGACATTGTTTTGAGTTGAGTGTACTAAATTTTTTGGAGATTTTAACTTTTGCTTCTCTATTTTAGAGACTTCATGCAGAATCTGTTGGAGATTCTCTTCCTCTTAGGATCACATCTAAACTTAAGCATATCAATGAAATTCAGTTGGTTTATTTCATTAATGTGTGATAAGAAATGTTCAATTGATATGCTGTGCTCCGATCAACAGGAACTAAATCAACTTTGTGATATCATCGTGGAGCCACTTAGAGATCGAATTGTAACGAGCCTCCTTCAGGCATCACTGGTCTGTCTCTTGCATCCTGTCCCTAAACTCCATGTCTCCTCCCTATCCCACCAATCATGTGCTGACACATCAGCATTCGTATTGATTATACATTTATTTCATTCATCATTTTATTCTCTCTTCAATAAAGTGCTGATTTGTCAGCACATGATTGGTGCACAGGCAGGTTGGGACATGATTTTTATTCCTGTTTCACAGGCTCATCGATTTCTTATGAATTGTATGTTATTCTCTTGCAGGATGGTCTACTTAGAGTGCTACTAGATGGAGGTCCTTCACGGTTGTTTGTTTCTTCTGATGTTAAATACTTGGAAGAAGATTTAGAGGTTCTAAAGGTATGTTTAGAAAGTTAGTTATGCACCATGCTGTAGTTACCATTTTCTTGCAACGATGCCTGAAGAGATTATCATTTCTTCTGATGCATAAATTCTGAATTTTTGCAATAACAGTGAAATAAGGGGGAGATATTATTAGGGAAAATCACCGAACTGGCCATTGTGGCTCAAAAATTCACCAGATAGCCGTTTTTTTACAAATTATCACGAAATAGCTGTAACTCCGCAAATTAGCTTAGGCAGAATCTTCAAATAATTAGGAAAAATTGGCTAGTATCTTACAAATAAATAGACTTTATAAAAAGACAGATATAGGAAAAAAAAAGAAGCAGAATATGATTTGATAGTAATTGAAGATCTGTAGGGTTCCATCTCAACTAATAAAAGGTCATATGTTTCATCAGCTAAGTTGTATCTTCTGAAGTGGATTTTCTTGATTTCAGCTGGCTGTGTCATGTTTAGTCATACCCAATGGTCACCTTGGCGGTTCACGTGTGCCATTGGGATTACATCTGAATAATCCTTCCGTGATGCCAATTTTATTGGGAATCGAAAAAAAGTTATTATAGAAACCCTCATTTTAACCTCTAAAATCCTCAAATAAGAGAACATATATCAACTTGATGTGAATACTACAGAGAAATTTTTCAAGAGAAAAATATTTGTGAAACTGAAACAGTCTGAAACCAACAAAAACAAAAAATAAAATCGTGGGAAGTTGGAATCGTAGATCTAGATCTTGTTGCCTTATCGACCTGACTGGATGATTCTTCTCATGTGAGAGGTCACTTCATATAAAAAGACCAAAATGCCCCTCACATTTCACTGCACCATGCAATGGACTGTCCTGCTGCTGCACCAGGCAAATCTTGGATCCTCTTGGAAGCACCATCCTATTTATTGTAATTTAGAGCAAGGATAAAATGACCCCAGATCCCACCTTGTTGGGATGTACTCGACTTGTTTGGTTTAGAGTAGGGATAATTAAATGGCTGATATAGTTCTTATATTGAAATTATATTGCTTAACTTTCATCAGGAGTTTTTTATATCTGGTGGAGACGGACTTCCTCGTGGAGTTGTTGAAAACCAGGTAGCACGTGTTCGACAGGTGATAAAGCTTCAGGGTTATGAGGTTAGTGTTTTTATAATATTTAAAATATCTGAGTCAATTTACATAATTAATCATATCGCATACAAATATAAATACACGCACATGGGTTCACCTGCGATGACTCCACACTGTTAGTGGTCACCCGGATTACGTCAGTGCATGTGAGCTGGCCAAATACCCTCAGTTACCCCAAAAAAAATCACTCACAGGGGGAATGAGATTGGTTTAATCACAAGTTTGTAGAAGTAGAGAGAGGATGCACGACATAAAAGGGGTTGAGCCCTTCGGGCTGTGCTACAGGAGTGTTATGTGCTCTCCAGCTGCTTCTACAATACATTATATAGGGAAGGGTTCATGAGGGAACCACAAATATTTTGAGAATCGTGAGAATCAATATATTCATTGATGCATAACACTATCAAAATATGTATGCCGTGGATGAGTATATTCATCAATGCATATCTACTATGTATGCAAGTATACATGCATGAGGGAGGTTCAGGGGAAACTCAAAAAAATAAATATATTCATTGATGCATAACACTATCAAAATATATGCTGTCAATGAGTATATTCATCAATGCATATCTACTATGTATGCAAGTATACATGCATGAGGAACACCAACCATTCATCTGGACGGTATGCACATGTGCATACAAGTATTTGAAGCTACTTTTTGGTTTTTATGCACATGTGCATACCGGACAAACTGCTTACAAATTACTCGTATGCACATGTGCGTACCATGGTTACTAGGGTGTTCCTCAATTTTTCATTTTTTTGCGGTTTTCAGATACTTTGCCAAATTAGTGTATATGCATCAATAAATATATTGGTTCTTCGTTTGAACAAGCCGATATATATATATATATATATATATATATGTGTGTGTGTGTGTGTGTATGTATGTATGTACCTAGATCTAGAGCAATCTCCATCCGACACACATCGAGCATACCTCCGAATCATACAGAGAATCTTGCCATCTTTTAAAATCACTAGTGGATGGATGGCAAGAAAGCTCACCCCGTTTGATTTCAAGATGGACGGCTGAATGTGCAACGGATGAAAATTGATTATTTTTTCATCACTGGGTTATATACTAAAAGCTTCCATGTTCAAGTCATTTAACAATATTAGATTTTAATTTTGAGCATCCATGGTGGACTTAAATTATGGGTCCAAGGGGGTAGACAATATGTATTTTAAATACTACTCCCTCTGTAATGAATGTTCGAAGTGACAGAGTTAGAAATATGTAATTGTTACACTTTTTAATTCATTAAGTGACAATTTTACCCCTCATAGTAGTGGGAGTAATGAATTTCTCCACAACGTAATTAAGTGTAGAATTGGAAAGTAGGCAAACATAATTAAGTGCTAGACTTTTGAACACTTATTTTGGGACAAAAGTAGTATAATGCAAACATTATCATATACTACTGATCTACAAATAATTTGATTATCACCTTACGTTATTCACTTGTGAATGATGAAATTCAGACGCGGGAACTCATCGATGACTTAAAATCTGCAAGTGCTTCAGACAGAAGCAAGTTGGGTGCTGACACCAAAACTCTTTTGAGAATATTGTGTCATAGAAGTGATTCTGAGGCTTCTCAATTCCTAAAGAAACAATACAGAATCCCCAAATCTGCTGCTTAGATTTTGCAATACATTTTTAGGATTCATCATTTGTTTTTGTATGATTTCTTTGGTCAGAGGAAAACATATAGCTCTGGGAATACTTGTACTAAACCAAAAGCAATAGCTTGAACTGCCATGATTTGTCGAATTCAACAATATTTGTATTGTTAAGTGGTTATATTTTGGCCAAAAGTTGAGTTGCTATTATTTGGGGGGTCAAGCGGATCATGAATATGATGAGATTATTATGTAATTATCCTACAAGTATTAGCCTAGCGAGTAAAGATATGGGCATCCTTACATAATGATTGAGAGGTCTGAGCTTTCACTTCAGTCACTTATGATGGTTCCTCCCGGTGGTCCAGTTCATTTTGACGGAACTTCCCACTCCTTCGCTTGACAATCATTCCCTCTACACATTGATTGTTTAGTTATTGCAAGTTCTTGCAATCATACTACAATGCTAACATTAGTTGATGGTTTTGTTATATATATATATAGAGAGAGAGAGGGGGGGATGGGTTCAAATAAAAACCACTCAATTTGTAAAAACCGTGAAAATCTCATTCAACCAATCATAATTTTTCATTTTGTTCATTTTTTTGTAATTATGAGAGGTTGATTAACCATTTTTATTATGGAGGGTGTTAATTATAGATATTATCATCTTTATTATTTTAATTTTAAAGAAATACATGAAACACTTTTATTAAAATTTCATTAAGTAGTATATGAAACAATTTCACAAGATTAACAATTTCATGAAAAAATTTCATAAGATTAACGATGGATAAGAGTAGTTTTTACGGTTTTTACAAATTGGAGTGGTTTTCATTTGATCGCTCCTCTATATATATATATATATATATATATATGTGTGTGTGTGTGTGTGTGTGTGTGTGTGTGTGTGTGTGTGTGGGTGTGTGTATCGGGTTT